ATATACTTATATTGAGTGAATCGCAACGAATCCTGAGCGAGATGTCTCTGGCCTGTAACCATCCCTATGTCTGAACTGCGTACATACTCTCCAACCAGATCAGGTTGCCCGAGAAGCGGACGTGTCTAATTATAGTCATGGCCGAATATATCGCCACTCCTATACATTGGCTTTCGCGCTAGCATTCGACATGTTCGATCACTATTATATATGTAGGTGTTTTCCCAGTAGGAATATGTAGTCGAGAGCGACCTATTGCAAGTCCTGCATTAACACCTTTATGCCTGGAGGCCTGGCCAGTTGTGAAACAATCGACCTGCTCAAACGCCTAAACCAGGTCATCCCAGCTAGCTCGTAGTCGACTAGAGATATGCCTCACCACATTTCCCGCAGTGTAAAAACCCCCAGGGCGAACACAGGGAGGCAGATAACGCTTGTCAGGACCCGCTTTACAAACGTCTGAGGCGTGACCTTTTCCCTCGACTTGGCAGACGACAGTTGCTTGTTGTACAGTTAAAAGAATAGTGCTGTCACGTTGTAAGAGTGGTGAGGTTAGGGAACGACCAGACTGACTGGAGCTGGAATATATGTACACAGTGTGTGCTGATATAGGAGAGTCAGTGATAGAATGTCTGTATGATCCTTCATTCAGTTGCAGGTGTTGTGAAACCCAGGGGAATGGGTTGCTGTTTATATATTGATGAGGTAATACTCAGTAAAAGGGTTTGGGTGCACAGACAAAGCATATCAGCCTTCAGTTTTGAAATTGCTCGATCGTCACTATTTGGAGAATGATAAACCGTGTTTGGTCGCCATGAATGATAGCAACAAGGCATTCTAACAGGATGTAACAGCCCATTGAAACGGGGAACGGATATAAATCCGTACTCTTCAGGAATAAGTTGAGGACTTCTTATTTCACTCTTTGGTGTACGGGGGGCAAGAGTGAGGCATGTTGACGCAGACTTGTGGCTAAGTCCCGCGAGCCAGCAGCCTATGGCCATGGATGATGTTTGCAATAGACTTGGTGCTAGTCGCACATTGCTTGCAAGTATGTTGTAGATGACGCGGTCTTCATACTACTGTCATGACCTTGTCTCAGCAGTGCAGTGTTGTTGAGTTTTACTTGATTATTTTTGTAACACTTCACATACAGGACCATACATAACCTCCATACTTAAACATAGGCTTATAGTAGTCCTAGTGCTAAGATCGCTTTGTAGAAAAGGGCACGGGACTACATATTGAATGTCTACATCGGTTCGCTGTTACCATATGGTGTCTACACATGCAACTGATTTGCCTAGGCTTGCCAGTCGCGAACCATTGGGTTACTAGATCGGTCGCTCAGTGTTCGGGAATACATGACCGAGAAGCTACTCCAAGGCAACTTTTGACAGTTGTACACGGACACACAGTTACCCTGTCAAAGGTTACCAGCCATATAGTGTCCAGAAACCATTAATATTAGACCAGATAATATAATACCAGATGTTACAATCTGTAAGGAAATAGCTGATCTTGAAGGTACCAGATCAAACCTTACCAGCTGTACACTGACTAGAAATCTTTGATCCTGAAGGTAACAGACCAAATGTTACCAGCTCCACACTGCCTATAAAATCTTTGATCCTGAAGGTACCAGACCAAATGTTACCAGCTCTACACTGCCCAGAAATACTTGATCTTGAAGGTAACAGACCAAATGTTACCAGCTCTACACTGCCCAGAAATACTTGATCCTGAAGGTACCAGACCAAGTGTTTACAGCAGTACACTGACTAGAAATCTTTGATCCTGAAGGTAACAGACCAAATGTTACCAGCTCTACACTGCCTATAAAATCTTTGATCCTGAAGGTACCAGACCAAAAGTTACCAGCTCCACACTGCCCAGAAATACTTGATCCTGAAGGTACCAGACCAAATGTTACCAACTCTACACTGCCCAGAAATACTTGATCCTGAAGGTACCAGACCAAGTGTTACCAGCTCCCCACTTCCCAGAAATACTTGATCCTGAAGGTACCAGACCAAGTGTTTCCAGTTGTACACTGCCCAGAAATACTTGATCCTGAAGGTACCAGACCAAGTGTTACCAGCTCCCCACTTCCCAGAAATACTTGATCCTGAAGGTACCAGACCAAGTTTTTCCAGTTGTACACTGCCCAGAAATACTTGATCCTGAAGGTACCAGACCAAGTGTTTCCAGTTGTACACTGACTAGAAATCTTTGATCCTGAAGGTACCAGACCAAGTGTTTACAGCTGTACACTGACTAGAAATCTTTGATCCTGAAGGTACCAGACCAAGTGTTTACAGCTGTACACTGACTAGAAATCTTTTATCCTGAAGGTACCAGACCAAGTGTTTCCAGCTGTACACTGCCCTGACATCTTTTATCCTGAAGGTACCAGACCAAGTGTTTCCAGTCGTTTCCGGCCTTAGCCTATGTTGAGGTATGGGAGTTACGATCACCTTAGCGCTAAGATCGCTTTGTACAACGGCACCCATAATATTATGTCAATTTCCGCGACCCGCTCGGGATATCACCATGCTAATAAACCTGTAGCGTTTAGTGTTTCGAGTGTAAGGCATTGAAAATGTCGTCTCAATACGAATAGGTAAATACCTCTTTCCTTGCCTTTTTACATTCATAACCAATATTTTTTAGTATGATCAACTGTAGGAACTGGTGTCCTTGATACGGTGCCTCCGTTTTCGGAACTAGGGCCACTTCTACTGAAACTGAATGCTGATACCTGACCTCCTCATATATAGCAGCTGTCTTGACAAGGCGGTCTCATCGATTACGGATAACCAGGTATACCTTGCATATCACCCGACACATAATCAACAAGAGCTGATTTCTGTGCAGCTACAAATCAATATCAAAATTGTTCCTCGAAAAGGAAACACATTGTACCAATGCTACATTACTAGGGTAGAATGTCGGATCATACTCCGGAACTTCTTGTATTCTTGTATATGTACTATACAAAAACGCCAAGGACTACCCGATTCGTTCACATTACAGTAATGACAGATTAACTAATAGTAATACGAAAGAATCTGTTGGTCTTTAACTGTTTTGAGCAGTAGACATGCGATTGTGTTCTATGATAATTTTCTCGGCTTGTAATGATTGTCCAAGAATGAATCTGATCTGAGTCTCACTGTTCAACCATCACTAATGGTTATGTCATGTCGGTGTTCACTTTACTTGTTAAAGGCTACTTTCAAACATTGTGTGACTACATTAAGAGCAGTTGCCGGGCACCATACCTGCAGCCATGCAATAACAGTCACCAACAGAGTGAGTGAGTAAACTGGGGTAATCTTGGAACAGTATTTCAGTTGCCCTGTCACGGCGGGTCAACTGTATGTGGGATGAAAGCTCGACATGGGACAGGTCTTGTTTACATTTAACATGGGTATGGTGCTGACACACCTGGGAACATAATCAGGGGGAACCGGCCCAAAGGTCGCAACTCTGTGCAACGAATAGCAGCCCCTCAGACACTGACTAATAGAGACGCATGCAAACATGACTACGACCGTAACAAGTGTTATATTTGGGATAAAACGTTCTTAGCAAAGTACAAATTCTAGTACTTTCTCGGGTTGAGTCCCATCTGGGATTCGAACCCACACTCTCAGAGTGAGGTACCTAATCGCCAGCACACAAAATCAGCGATCTAACCCACACAGCCATCGACAGGATAAAACATATGGATGAAAATAGTCCTCAAATTTATTATTGTAAATAAAACTTTATCATCATAGCTATTTAAAACACATATTATCTTCCGGATTGGTGAATGTTTAGAACAACTTCGTGGTCCAAGCCAATCAATGGCGTCAAGTACCCGCCAAAACCGTTCGGTTCGGTCGATCGCTCCTCTCCTACTATCCGTTGACCATTATCAAATTTCTTCTCTTTTCGAGGTTAAATTAAACCATTTGGGGCATAAGTAATCTCTTTAAATGGTGTTGGTTGGTTGGACGGATTGTAAAACAGAATGAGTGTGAGCACTATTGTTAACGTTGGAGAAACTTTGATGCTGCATAAGGAAAATCTGAAGTAAATTTTCTGAACAGCCGCTTTCGTGCTTACTCATATAACTTATATATATCGCCTACAAAAGTCTTCCCTATTCCTTACAATACGTAGACTTGGGAGGATTTGAGGATTTGAGTACGTAAGTCTACACACAGAGGTCTTAATGTCACTGCGCATATGGATCTATAAATAACTAGCCATATCAATTTTGGTCATACGTTCTACCTAATGTTCTAACATTGAGTGTAGGCCTGTCTGAAGTCAGTTCTATGTCTGAACATATGTTTGAGAATGCCAATTTTTTAACCCCCGTCCCGCGCTGAATCCCAGATACGATCCTATTTCACTCTGAGTCTCATTGCTCACTCCTTAATCCCGAATACAATCTTAAAACAAATCTTAAGAAAATGAGAAAAGTGTACGATTAGAATTAAAATCACTGACAAAGACAAATGTCTTAATTGGGCCTTAGGACATTTTTACGACCATTCTTTTTAAAAATGTTGACTCTGCGAACCAAATGCGATTTTATTTGCGTCCCTTGTCACTGTACGTGGAGTCCCGAATACCCTCCAAATAGACCGAATTCCTGAGTACAAAAAAGGGTTGGCAGCCTCAATGACATGTTTCCGAAAAGGCCAAAAACTACAACGAAAATGGGTTATAAAGGCCTATACTGAACTACAAATTTGCACAACATTCGGTGATCAATCTTTTAAAAAAACAGGATAGTCGAGGATGGAATTAGTATTGAAGCCAAACCGGCAAATTGTACGATGCTTGAATATTATTTATCATTACCAATAGTACCATCAACCGTTGTTCCAATTTTGTTTCAAAGACCTTGATCATCAATGGCCGTGCCATTATAACGAGCTGCACGGCGTCAGTCAGAACGCCGATGGTATTCTGGATCAAAACCAGAAAGCCCCAGTCATCAAAGCCAGCCAGCAACACAAAGGTTTCGCCGAGGAGATGTCTGATCCATAGCCTCGGCGATAGTCCGATTGAACGAGCCAGAGACACTCGTGCGATCGCTCGTCAGCACTGCAGATCTACCGGAAATAGCACGAGGCCCACAGTCAGTCAGCGAAAAGCAGACATGGGGCACACAGTGAGATGGAGCTAAGCAGGACTAACAGATTGTCACTCTCGGTAGGTAGATTTCGTTGCGTTTTGTAGCGATAATTATGTGCCAGCATGGTGAACACTGCAGTACATATTATTTCCAATGTTTATTTTCTTTGTATGCGATCATTACAGCTTTGTTCAGAGTTGGCCAGTGCCCGATCGTGTTCCTCAGCTTGTAGGCAATATGGCGGCATGTACTGGGCCCTGCTATCGCTAGTCGAGGGCCATGTGATTTCAGTCGATGACTTGGCTTTAGATATAAATACGCGCAATGGTTGTTCGCTGCGAGTAACTAGAGACTAGACGTTCAGCGTTGTCTTTGCTGACTCGTGGCGTGGTTTGGACAGTGTCAGGTCGGTTATTTATCGTCTGCTCTTGTGGTATTTAACTGAAGTTATATAGGATTATTTAGCTTGTGTTATTCAGGCCAATTTAATTTTAATCTCAGAAAATAAATGCGGAATGAAATTGAAAATTTTGTATGCTAAGTCGTGGTGTTTTAATTACACTTGTTTTTGAAAATAGTAAGTGCATGTTGGTGTCATATAAGAATTTCTCCAACAGTTGGCAAGTGTGGAAGTTGCCAAGAGGAGTGATTACATTACTTCATCTGAGGAGGACATGCTCATACTTGCCTATACAGTTTAGGCACATACCATTCTAATTCTATATGTACATCTAGTGAACAATTATGATATATTGCTAGGACATTTATTTACTTGTTATATATGCTCAAATGTGTATGAAGGTAGAATTTCCAGTTTGGTAATATATATTGAGTTCTGTATCTTAGGTCAAGGTCATCGAGAACTTGTATACTTACTATAGGTATATCCACAATGAGTTCATGCTCATTTTCAGTTAACATTAATTACTGGTTGTTATGAAACTGAACATCAGAAATGATGTACAATTATGATATATTGTTAGGACACTAATTTACTTGTTATATATGCTCAAATGTGTATGAAGGTAGAATTTCCAGTTTGGTAATATATATTGAGTTCTGTTTCTTAGGTCAAGGTCATCGAGAACTTGTATACTTACTATAGGTATATCCACAATGAGTTCGTGCTCTTTTTCAGTTAACATTAATTACTGGTTGTTATGAAACTGAACATCAGAAATCAATACCATTCGATGACAAAAAATGGTTATGACTTTCAATAAGAAAATAATATATGTGCAACTTGTTAAATGTTTTGCACATATGCCCTGCTTGATGGATAAGTTTTGCTATATACGTGATACATAATTATAGTTTTGTCAAGTTTGTTTCAGTTGAATGATCAAAATCTGTAGCTGAACAAATCAGATGTTTCAAATAAAATTGGCACTTACCAAAATATAATGTTGTTGGTTACTCGTGTTCATAAGAGGTCTGCAGGAAGTGTTATACTACCGCCTCTAGCTTTCATTTTGTCTGCAACTCCACTTTTTGAGTGAGTGAGTGGGTGAGTAAATCTTTGCATCTAGGCACTGACACAACCTGATGTGAGGATCATCATGGCTGTTATATACATGGCGGTGATGGGCCTTGACCAATTAAACCTGTGGTTGATATCGTGAGCATAAGCCCAAGGACACATAATAACCAAGGACAACCAGCAAAGCCCACTTTATTTGGGTCTTACAACAAACATGGAGCTCTCCATTGGGAGCCATTTCATGGACTCTGCTTTCAGCAGATATTTCTGATGAATGTGGTTCGGTATTCATCGCTTCATCTCTTTTCAAGCTCATGCATGCTATTATTGTTAAGTGTAGCAGTGTTAGAAACTAACAGTTTTTGTCCACTAGTCCTTACAATGATAACATATAGCAAAACCCTTAAAATGGGCCAATATCTACTAGTCCTTAGGATACCTTTACTATTGGGCAGTTTGGTAAGGACTACAGGACCAGTGCCAATTTCTAACGCTGTGTAGATCAATTTGATCATGATTATTTGCAATGATACAGCAGGTATGCAGTACATATCACAGTTTGTGTTGTTCAGTGCTACTTGTTATTGGTATGTTTCACCCTTGTGGAGATTCTGGTCCATAACAGACCATGATGTCAATCACTGGATTGTCTGGTGCAGACTCGACTATTTATAGACCGCTGTCATATAGCTGGAATATTGCTGAGTGTGACGTTAAAGAACAAACTAACCAACCAACAACCATAACAGACCACCATTGTTCTTGAATGAGCTGGTGAAAATATGGACAATGTATTCTGTCCTGGGATTCAGCTGTCTTTGTCCCTGATGACGTAGATCATTGCTCGGAATTCACTGGTTTTACAGACACAATTCTGATTGTTTACAGGACACAATAGTGAGTTGAAATATCGTTTACTGTGGCATGTTACAATATTCACTTACACTATCCTGTCTTCATATTTATATTTCTTGTCAGTCAACTTGATCTGTCCATCAAGTTCTTTTTTAGTCAACCTTTGATATAGGCTTGTTTAGAGGGATCTGATGTAGACATTTATACTTTTATTCTGATGTTCACATGTAGAATTAAGGGGGTAAGATCAGATTACAAAATATCACTGCATGGAGGTGACTGCAACAGTGACATCTTGATTGTAGGGCCCATTGGGAAGTTGACGGCTGTGTGCATTCAATAAGCAGATAAACATTACATGTGTTCAGATTTGCGGGTTTTATTGAATATTTGATGTCGGGGGAAATTGCTTTTGGAACTGACAACGTTATCTGGAGGTTTCAAATGTAAAAATATTGAAGTACATTCAGTCATCAATAATTTCCGGAAGCACTCTGTCTCTCTATGTGAATTCTTACAATCATGAGACTGACATTACACCATTTTGGAACTGCTAGACCTTGTATTGTGATGACATGTTATTACGTTGGAACCTGCTCCTGTGAAAGCTGAACGCACTTGGTTAGCAGGATGTGGAAAAAACCATTTAAATCTAAGTTTTTCTGATAAATATTTATCAAACTGAAATATTTGATCAACAATCCCATTTCACCAAGCCGAATGTCATTTTTTTCAAATTTGGGATTGAGCTGACAAAAAGATATTTTTAAGAAACGTATTCATGCACAGTAAGCATGGTGAGTACAGTAGTTATTTCTGGGCTTCTATAGTTCTAATACCATTTAATCATGTTTTTCAACCAATCAGATTTCCGCACAATGTCGTTGATCACTGTACAATGATAAGATACATATTCTTTGCATTCGTAGTTAGGGATTTTGCGATACATGTGTCACATGATACGATACATATCTTGATACAGAAGCCATGATGCTGTACGAATCCCAATACTGCTTATACACCATTTTGGCCAGAAAACCAAGTCATGACTGAGAATAGAGTCCATAGACTCACTCATAAAGGTAAAGGACAACTGACTAATACCCATCAAAGTCAAGTCAACTATTCTGTAAGAGAAAATAATAAGAAACAAACAAGTTTACGTACTGTTTTATGGTTTCGCAACTCAGAGACGACCATGAAGGTATGAAGAATTTAAAAAATACTTTGTATGTGCTCATTGATCATGTTGATGTCGATGAAAGATCCAAATTAAGTGGACTGGGTATTGTATCATGAATCATGACATACGACTCATAGTTATCATTAATGAATTGAGTGTGTGGAGTGTATTACTCTTTGAACATTATAAAGGCTCAGAGTTAAACGTGGGCTACTGAACACCCGGAAGGGCAGGACTGATGAAGTAGTCTGAACTATTTGTGGACTAGTTGGATTGTTCTCATTGTGTCTAGCCCAGCACATGCTGTACCATATGCCAAAACCAAACCCACACAGGTCATGGGCAAAACATAAGGTCTGATCTTGCATCTTTAATGTGGTAGAGGCTGTGTGTGCATAATGTCTGTTGCTGGAGATGTCATTGTACTAGTCTGTGAAGTATACCATGAAAGAAAGTAAGATCTGAACAACTTTGGACTTCAAAAAATAGCCACCTAGCTTAGTTTCTTTGTTCTGTCCCAGTCAGAGGCATCTTCAAATACTTGGCTTATGATTGATAGAAAATGTTCATATACTGATACATCAATGTTGTATCAATGTGGGTTATGGATATTTTGGATTTTGTTTTTATTACAATTGTAATATTACATATTAACACTTCAGTCACCACAGTAATAGAAACTAATAGTTTTAGTGCACTAGTCCTTTTAATGATAACATATAAGCAAAACCCTTAAAAATGGCAAATTTCTACTGGTCCTTATGGTACCTTAACTATTGGGCAGTTTGGCAAGGACTATAGGACTAGTGCCAATTTTGATCAACATTACGTAAAGTCAGGGCACAGAACATTGAACAGAAGAACAGTTTGCAATCTTTGCCAAATGTCCAAAGTCCAGATCAAGTTATATTTCTTTTGGATAATCACTGTTAATAGGCTCAGCTTATCAAGGTTATTAGTCGATATGTTAAGACTAAATTCTAAGAACACAGACACTGAAAGGCAAGTTGAGGCTTGTAGACACTAATGTTGTGGGCACATGCGGTTACCTATACATCATTGTACAATAACCTACTCGCCTATTTTTTGACCACATTCCTGAAGCCCTGGGCCCCGTTCCACATAGCCATCGTAACTCTGAGGTGATCGTAACTCACATACTTTTAACATAGACTTTCGACGGTTGTAGTGCTACAATCACTTTCTGTAACTGGGCCCAGGCCAGGTCTTAACTTAGTGATTGATTTGAATTTTATTGGAACATGTTGAACAGTAGTTTGAGATGTCATAGTGTGTCAGCTTGTACTGTGAAATAAAGCCAACTGTGACACAGGATGTGTAGATGACTGTCACGAAGTGAATCCCCCGATCACAGTCATGGTGCTCTATATCTTCAGGGCCAGAATTTTGTTAAACCCACTCTTACCCTGGATCTCTTTCTTTAGTTCTTGCGATCACAAATCCCCCCCCCCCCCCTTATTTTTATAACATTTTGCCAACCAATCAAACTTTAACATAAGGGAAACAGTAAGGGAGGTAACTTGAATTACCTAAAAACC